GGCTGTTCCAGATCCCACCAGGCTCCCCTGGCAGTCACCCTGGGGCCTTCATCTCAAGCCATACCCAACCAATTACCAGGCTCTGCCAATTTCAGTGCTTAATTATTCCTCCCATCTGTCCCGTTTCCTCTGACTCCCACCGCCTGGGTTCAGGCTGTCACCCCTGTCTGCTGCAGTACCCTCCAGCCCCAGCTGCACTGGCTCACTAAGTTCACATTCCCTGGATAAGGAGGCGCCTCTCCCTGGCTTAACACCTCACCGGGGCTCCCACTGTCCCGGAGTATCCGAGCTGCCCAAATATGATACATGAGACTTCCAAAAAAATACGTGGAAAAGTGGAATTAAGCAAAGCTTATTTTGGACATCCTCCTTGGGGGGTGCTTCCTCACTGCCCCCTCTCCCTCCACAAGCCCATGCACCCCATAGCAAAAAAAAAGAAAGAAAGAAAAGAAAAAGAAAAATTTGAAAGTAGATCTCTGTCTCACTTCTTCAATTGTAAAACTATGTCTGGACTTACTACATAATTGCAAGGTCAAGCAAACCCCAGGGCTCTTCGCTCACAATCAAGAAAGAGAACAAATGTTTTCTTTCACAAACGTTAAGACTAGACCTACTTCTTGCCCCTATATAAAAGATTAAAAGCACATCTTATAAACGTTTTGTTCTAATTAGCTTCATGTTTCTCCATGGTCAGAGTAAACGTGGAAGCGTCCAGTGCCTGCAACCTCCCGCAGCGGGTGGCTGAGGGGGGTGGGAGTGAACGCATTGGCGGGGCAGCGGGAGCGCGGGCAGGAGGGTTGCAGAGCCCCGCGCCCCGGCTGTTTCCCGCGCCGTTCTGTTCGGCTGCGTAGACCACTTCATGCCAGGTGGCTGGATTGTTATTCAACCACAAAGAAGCCGTTATCGGTTATAATTGCACCTGGACTAATACCTTGAAATAAATACCGTTCAAGCGGAGCCTTGCCCACCCCAGCTCCGGTCACCAGACGCCGATGCTCGGCCAACAGAGAACAGCGCGCGCAGCCCCGAAGGCTGCTGGAAAGGATCGGAGGAGCGCGGGCTTCAGCGCACAAAGGCGCGGTGTAGACTCTCGCCCCGCCGTACGCAGCAAGCCGCAGTGCGGGGCGAGCCTGGCCGACAGACGCCGCCGCGGTGACCCAGGACAGCTGGCTGGGGCGTCCCTGGGGACACCGGGACCGCAGCGCGTGCTCCAGTGAGGACAGAACAGCTGACACGCCCACCCCATGGGGCACACGGGGAAGAGCCCTCGGTGGGGTTCGAGGTGCAGACACCAGGAAGGGCGTCCCGGGGGAGCAATATGTGGCACAGGGGCGCGGCCCGCCGTCGGCGTGGGCGGGGGACAGGGGACACGTGCGGGGCCGAGCTGGGG